AGACTAAGATTGAGATGTCATTAGAGGGCGGAGCCAACCCAATACTGAACCCTACGGACTAAGACTGGGGGGCCATTAAAGGGCGGAGCCAACCCAATACTGAACCCTATGGACTAAGACTGGGGGGGCCATTAAAGGGCGGAGCCAACCCAATACTGAACCCTACGGACTAAGACTGGGGGGCCATTAAAGGGCGGAGCCAACCCAATACTGAACCCTATGGACTAAGACTGGGGGGCCATTAAAGGGCGGAGCCAACCCAATACTGAACCCTATGGACTAAGACTGGGGGGCCATTAAAGGGCGGAGCCAACCCAATACTGAACCCTACAGACTAAGACTGGGGGGCCATTAAAGGGCGGAGCCAGCCCAATACTGAACCCTACGGACTAAGACTGGGGGGCCATTAACTTTCATGTGCGTGTAAAGGCGTCCCAATACTTCCGGTAATATAGTGTATATGAAATCTTTTGTGTGTGGGATGCGGCCTCATCCTATAGGAAACCCATAGATGGTCTCCACGCTGAACCGGATCTCTGCCACCAGCTGAGCCTCCGACTAGTGCAGCAGAGACAGATGAGAGGAGCAGAGGAGGGGAGGGGGCCGTGTTCTCTGGGCCCCGCCATTTTTCCCTGCGGGCCCCCAGTCGGCTTTCTCTTCCAAGGTAGTGTAAAACGGCCACAGTGTGAATGCGCCTGACCTTTTGTCTTGGACTAATCTAATTGTGTCGTCTTTGTGTAATCAGCCAGGAAAGGTCAGCGCTGTATTTATCGGAGGGCCTCCTTTAGGTAATGAATTTGCCTTGCAGTAAATTAAGTTGATTACGCTTTTTTGAAGTATGACAAAGCTCAGGTCAGGTTAACCATGAAGGCGCCGCGCTGCTTTGACTGGCTGCCGGGGACCCGATGCAGGTACCGCGTCTCTGCCGAGTGTCCTAGAAGACGGAACTCCGAGACCAGCAACGTCTGCGGCACACACGAGATCCCCACAGAAGAGACGGGAGAGAAGAAATGAAGTGTTCTGGGTATGTGGTCCCCGGTGTCATTCCCTGTTCTAGGGTATGCGGTCCCCGGGGTCACCCCCGGTTTTAGGTATGCGGTCCCCGGTGTCACCCCGTTCTAGGTATGCGGTCCCCGGTGTCACCCCCTGTTCTAGGTATGCGGTCCCTGGGGTCACCCCCTGTTCTAGGTATGCGGTCCCCGGGGTCAGCCCCCTTTTAGGTATGCGGTCCCCGGGGTCACCCCCGGTTTTAGGTATGCGGTCCCCGGTGTCACCCCGTTCTAGGTATGCGGTCCCCGGTGTCACCCCGTTCTAGGTATGCGGTCCCCGGTGTCACCCCGTTCTAGGTATAGGGTCCCCGGGGTCAGCCCCCTTTTAGGTATGCGGTCCCCGGGGTCACCCCCTGTTCTAGGTATGCGGTCCCCGGTGTTATCCCGTTATAGGGTCCCCGGGGTCATTCCCCGTTATAGGTATACGGTCCCGGGGTCATTCCCCGTTATAGGTATACGGTCCACCCCGCTGCTAGGTAGGCGGTCCCCGGTGTCCCCCCGTTCTAGGTATGCGGTCCCCGGTGTCACCCCGTTCTAGGTATAGGGTCCCCGGGGTCAGCCCCCTTTTAGGTATGCGGTCCCCGGGGTCACCCCCTGTTCTAGGTATGCGGTCCCCGGTGTTATCCCGTTATAGGGTCCCCGGGGTCATTCCCCGTTATAGGTATACGGTCCCGGGGTCATTCCCCGTTATAGGTATACGGTCCCGGGGTCATTCCCCGTTATAGGTATACGGTCCTGGGGTCATTCCCCGTTATAGGTATACGGTCCCGGGGTCATTCCCTGTTATAGGTATACGGTCCCTGGGGTCAGCCCCCTTCTAGGTACGCGGTTCCCGGTGTCATCGCTTCCTTAGATGACTCTACCAGAACACCATAGGGGGCAATGTTTCATGCAGGATGGGGGGGATCCCTAATTTGTCTGATTCAGCTGTGTGTGTAATCTGATATTCTGTGGTTCAGTCTTGTCTATGTAACCTATGCTAGACTTTCTAACCAGAGAGCCCAGCACTATCGCTTCCTTACATGACTCTAGCAGAATACAATAAGGGGCGATGTGTCATCCAGGATGGGGGGGATCCTTAATTTGCCTGATTCAGCTGTGTGTGTAATCTGATGTTCTGCTGTCCAGTCTTGCCTATGTAACCTATGCTGGACTTTCTAACCAGAAAGCCCAGCACTACTCCTTTAGATGACTCTAGCATAGCAGAAGAAACAAATTAGCAGCAAGTCAGCCTCGTCATTAGGAGATTCTGCTGCGTCAGCGATATATCGCTTAATAATATTTAAAAGTTGACCAACAAGTTACTTTTTTTTTTTTTTTTTTACAAAATTGTATTTTTTTTGCTCTGAATTTTATAAAGAAAAAAAATACACAAAAACACTTTAAATTGTTGGTTTGGGTTGTATCTTTTTGGCTCAGGGGGATCGGGAAGGATTTGTTCCCCCCGTTGCAGTACATTGGTTGATGCTTCATAAGGCGTTGGGCCTTTCTCTGGATCTGGGATTCTGATTTTTAATTATTTTTGGATTTTGGTCTCTCGATTGACGCAACTTTATTCGTACATGTCACTGAACTTTAATCAGATCTCTCAAATTTCAGGCCACCACCTGAAACAAATGATTGATTTCACATCCTGCATCTGCTAGAACAGGGGTCTCAAACCTCCGGCCCTCCAGCTGTGGGGGTGAAACTACAAATCCCATGATGCATCTCTCTGCGGGAGTCCTGTCTGTGGCTGTGAGAATCTTGCAATGCCTCGTGGGATTTGTAGTTCCACCCACAGCTGGAGGGCCGGAGGTTTGAGACTCCTGTGCTAGAACATGAGATTTCACATCCAGGCGGAGTTTTGAGACCCCTGTGCTAGAACATGAGATTTCACATCCAGGCGGAGTTTTGAGACCCCTGTGCTAGAACATGAGATTTCACATCCAGGCGTCATCACGTTTAATCATCATCACGTGCGGCGGATTGAAATGGGCGCAGTTTTCACGTTGGGGCAGAGCAGCAATCGCACACAACGCCGTCAGATGAAGACAAGAGGCGGACGGAGGACTGCTGGAAGTGCGGACGTCTCCCCCTGCTTGTCATGTAAATGAATTCATTTTTTGCTCCGGAGGAAAATAATCGATCACATGACACGAACGCCAAGTTATA